CGCTGGCCATCGATGACAATATTTATTTTTAATATTTATATTACAAAATAATCTCAATATATAGTAGCTTTGTATAACAAAGAGCTTTGTTTTATAAGCATGTGTTTTACTTACAAAAATATGGGTTAAAGTTCAGGTATTATTTTTGAGCATTACTTTATTTTTTACCTAGATATAAATATTTATCTTACTATTTATTCAATAAAATATTATATTAAAGTGTATAAAAGCAGTTTTTAAAATATTTAATGAATTTACATTTATTGATTATATTTTTATAAAATACTTAAATTAAAAATAATATTTTATGTAATCTTGCATTTCAATTGCTATTTATAAATAATATTCAATTATTGTATTCAATAATATTCAATATAAAATAATATTCAATTATTGTTTTTATAAATGTGTAAAATAAAAATGTTTTACAAGTAATTGCTGTGAAACGTCGGCCTAAATATGGGGTAAATAGTATATGAATTAATTATAAACATTTAATTTAATCACAAAATACATACCAATAATTTTAATTCCGACACAAATCATACAAACAATTTTTGTATTATTATTGGAATTATTTTTGATATTGAAGGATAACACAATTAAATACAATATTCAATTTATTTATTTATTGACCTTATAAATGATAATATATATAATATTTGCAAATGTTTGGCAATTCTTGAAAATCAAAGTACAAACTATGGTCATAAAAATAATACACAAGAAATAGTTGTCAAAGCAATCGATTCGTGTCGTTATTTAAACAGATTGAAGAACACTCTCTTATGATAAACAATTAATTAATAATATAATACTCATTGTTATTAATCAAACCAGCATGTAAATAACTACATGTAAATTTAATTAGTGTATTTATATGTTGTACACGGTTCATATGTTAGGTAATTTGATAAAGGCCTAGCCTGATAAATGTATATTGTAAAAATAGATAGAATTATGAATCATTTGAAATAATTTAATATTAAAAGTTTACGGCACGAGAAATTATGTTTTATAAATAAAAGGATGATTTTTCACTGTAATAAATTATTACTAATAATATAATGATTATAATAACAATGTGCACCAGCTTTCTTATCTAATAATTATTGCGATTCTGTGAATCGCTTATTCTTTTGAAATCCATATTAATTGTTAAGTATAATTATATGCTTTTCAATGGCCATAAACCGGTACCCGACCTGTTGCCATATAATTATCGGTAGTCAACTCGAGTGGTGAAGATGATCGAAATTGATTTTTATTATAGTTACTATATTTTAATAACTCCTTTAAATAATTATGGGATTACTAATACCGAATTCTATCGTATTACCTTGTTTATAGTTGCAAACATTGTGGTGCATAAGAATATTAATTAAAGTTATGGAACAATTTGTATAATTCTATCTGCATTAAAAATTAGATAAGCCAGGCCTTTATCACATGATATATAACACATTAATAATAAATATAATCACATCGAATGATATACAAACAAAAACATTATAAATGTTTCATAATAATGAAATTATTTAAGATATTAACTTAAAATATAAATAATTTATGTATTAATTATTAGTCTAAATTGTTCATGATCTTATAGTTGTTAAAGTAAACCAGTTAAATATGTCTATATATTCGGTTATACGTGCAGTAAAAATAGAATTCAATAAAACATATACTTGCTACAGGAATGGACAAAATATATCATCCAACTATTCTTTATCTATTGAATCTCATGTAAGATTCTTTAAATTTTGTTTACATTGTTACTATATTTTTAAGTGATTTATTATTTTAATTCTTAAATATACCAGAATATTTTATATGGCATGACTTTATCGTTTGTAAACTATATATATTGTGTTTTAAATCAACCTGTTATATTTGTCAAGCCAATAAATGATAATGTGGTAATGTATAATCCCAAATATATTGAAACTTTATAAATCATAAATAATTAAACAAATAATTTTCTCCTAAAATATTATAATTAATAGTTTAACGTATCGGTTGTTCTCCACTCAATGTATCAATACTCAAAAGAATTACTTGACAAATATGTATTAATTTATAATAAAGAAACGTATTTGATCGAGATAGGTTCCGGGTTGCGATTAAACCGTGATGTATCATTGTTTGGTATATTGAAAATATTTCATTATAAGGTATCATCGAATATTTATATCGAAATTTTTTTTATAAATCGTATTTGATAAATTTATTATAAAATTATTATTATAGCTTGATAGACTATAGATGTTATACTTAACATTTGTAATGATATTTAAAATGTTGTTAATTACAATATTACGTAAACGATTTTAGATTTGGATACTTATCGTTATATTTGCATTTCTTATTACTGTATTAATAAAATGCAAATATACTCATCACACAAATTTGAAGCATGCAATAATAGACATGTTTAATCTATTGACTAATCAATCGAATAATTTATTTAATAAAATAATAAATTTAAAAACCACTGGAATATCAATGATTGCATTGATTTATATCTGGATTTTAAGTTCACTATTAATAACAATATTTTATTGCAACGATTTATTGGACTCTTATATTAACATAAAATTTGTTCCAATAGTGAACACAATTGAAGATATTTTAAACAATAACGAAATAAATGTAATTTTAGATAAACCTACCATTAATTCAATCGCTCAACAATTACCAGAATATAATCACACAATGAATGCACTCATTGCTAGAAATAATAAATTTGAAAGAATAATGAATAAAACATACAATGATTTCAAAGTTAATATTAATACTTATTTCAATGCATTTCGTGAAATGATTGCCAGAAATAGTGTTATATTACAAGAATCTTTGGGTTTTGATAATATCAAAATAATGTTGAGTCAATTATATAGCAATCGGTATTCAATTAGTGAACACAAATATTTTCCTCAAATGTCATTATATTTAATTACAAAAGATGCGATTTATTATAAACCACAAATACTTCAAATGTAAGCAAATACTTTAAAATTCTTTATATTGTAAATTGTAAATCAAGATTGATTGCATTGTTTTATATTATTGTAAGTACATATTAATGCTGTATTTTTAACAACAATTCATTTTCAAAAATGTGGTTTACAGGATCATGATTCTTCTCTTTTTCCCTTACTCTGCATGAAATTACAGACTAATCCTATGGCTATACTTTAACATAAGTTTCCTCCTATTGGATAATATAGAGAATACTTGTTTATGAATGCGTTTATTTTAGTTTCTTATGAATAATAGTCTAGTTCGATGCCATAGATTTATCATGGGCATTGTTGTCTCTGGACAACGTTATAATTCATGCTTATGATAATGGCGCAAGGGAAATTAGAACATTTGATTTCTTAAATAACTACAGAATAAAATTAAATTATTTTTATACATAATGTATGTTATTTCATTACATAATTTTCAATTTTCTGATATTTACTTATATTTTTAATAGGTTTAAACGCGGCTTAGAATGTGGATTGAATTATCACCATGATATGATTTACAAGATTTTAATGAAATTGAATTTTATACAAACTATACGAAATGACAGTGAAATGGTTTCAACGAATGATAACACATATAATGACATAACAATCGTTGATATATTTCGAAATGCATTCCCGCTGTTAATCATCGGATGTTTAATTGCTTTTACAATAATATCAATTGAATTAATATTACATAATATTGTTATTATTTATGCATTTATTATATCTATTCCAGTGCTCATCAAAAGCATTACATTTGGTTTGATTCAAAAATTAATTAAATTAATCGATTATTTTGTCCGATGTTTTACATTATAGCCAATCAATGGTAAAAATCTGTGAACCAGTTGTCAGGTATTACAGGAATATAACTAGTGGTCGATATAAATATATATAATTTCACTCAAAAATACACACAATTTTATGTTTAATAATCAATTTTACTTAGACTTCAGTTAACAATAACTTTTATTATGTAAAACAAATGACACAACATTAAGTGTTTTTGAATTGTGCATGAAATTTTGTAATAAATCACTACAAACACAATAACGTATTGTTTTTATAATTACTAATGAATACACTTATACTAAACCATAACTTACATTGTTACATTATTAAAAGCTGCTAATGCTTTTATAATAAATCAAAGGTTGCACTTAAGGTTCGGCCGGAATTACAGAAATTCTTATAAAATACTAGAATTAGGGAATATTTGTAGAGTAGAGGAGGGGGTCATTGCTGTGCACTGAAAAGTAAAGGAATAAATATTTTGGGGGTTAAAGCTGTATTAATAGCCTATTTTTAATCAGTTTGCAGTGATATATAGAGATGTAACTGGCATTCAGATTGTATGCATACACATTAACACTGTTATTTTACTTAAATAGAAAATAATTTTTTGCACATGCACATTTTTTTAAAGTTTACAATATTTAACAATACAACATCTTAAAATATTATACTTTATATCTAATAAAATATTATAATTATATATTATACTAAGGTGTATAAAATCACTTTTTAATATTTAATGAATTGATATACTGTAATAATACTTAAATTATAAACAAATTCTAATAATGGTTATGATTTTAGCAATATTATAAATATTAATTGTATAATTTAAATTAAAGTATAATTAATTCAAAACTTTAAAACTCATTATATTTAATAGCTTTGATTGTTTAAACTTTTAATTATTGTTTTATTAGACTTAACTAATTTCTATTAATTTTGGTTAATACAATTATAATTAAATAATAAAATTAATCAAAGAATTCTTGGAAAAGTGGTCCATAATATTGAAGTGAATTCTTTTTAATATCCATTCTTTCCATTTTACTAACAATTTTGAATTCATTTAATATAATCATTAGATTTTGTAGTCTTGTCTGTGATTCCGATTTTGACCGGTATTTTAATAACAGATATCTTTGCAGTAAATATATATACAGTTGTTGTTCGAGTCTAACATACAATTGAAATTTAAAAATTAATTTATATAATAATTACATTTATTACATGTACAGTATATAGAATTAATGAATGCATACTTTATAGCAGTTGTATGCGATATGTTTGGCACATTAGGGTTGAAGAGTGTGATTGCTGTTAACTATTTTCAATATAAACAAGAATGTCATTAATTAAGTAACAATTATTAAATGACCATAATTTATAATTATAACAACCAATTCCATAATAATGGGATCCATTTGCCAAACAGACATTGTTTTATTCATAAATTTTTTAACGGTATTATATAATCCTTTATGTTCTTTGGAAATGTCATCCAATTTAAAGCACATGCAATATTTGGGGTCCTATAAGTGATAAAATAAACATTATGGTAGAGAGAGAGAGAGAGAGAGAGAGAATGCGTGAAATGTCATACCAAAGGAAAAACATAAGTTTGTGTTTCAGTATTAAAATACATTAAAGTCCTTAAAAAAGTAATGTCCAGGAATTGGCTCTTCATAAGCAAATACTGATCACTTTTGCATATATTTTTGAAACCGTTTATAAATTTAATAAATGATACAAAGTTTTGAACGTGTGTTTCGGTGGCCGGGGCTGCCATTCGGATCAAATGGTCCTTATTTTGAACCACTATTACATTATCAGCGATCGGATAGTTTATAATATCAGATGCCTTCAAGAGCTCTCGCATACGGTTTGTTTCCAATTGATTCAAACCGTTATAATCTGTCAACTCTTTGAATACGGGAACCAATGGTAATGGCATTGACTTTTGTATTATATTATCATCATTTGTCTCATTAATAAAATCATTGTTTAGTGTGTTTTCAATTTCCAGTATCTGTTTATTCAATGCTTTATCCGTTATATAGAATGTACTGTCAATGAGATCATCGACTTCTTGGCCAACGGTTTGGTCAGAGATTTTGTTGTCGTTTGAGTTCACGTCTGATATATTGTGTACAGAATTTGTTTGAATACTTTGTATACATTTTTGCTTATTTTCTGCAATCATTTGTCGTCTTCTCTTATTTTCTTCGTCTGAATTCATTATTTCCTGAAATCAATGAAAAATATAAATAATTTAAACAATTAATTCAATGATAGGAATAAAATGATTACTTTTCTCATTCCGACCGCAAAACACTTATTAAGTCTACATTTTTGGCAATACTTTCTTGTATTTGGAGTGATATTACATTTGCCTTCAAAACCGCATTTCAATTGCTATTTAAATAAATTAATTAAAATAATATTCAATTATTTTCTATATCAAACATTTTCTTTGAATGCATTTCTCCTAAAAAATGTTTTACACGAATCGCAAGTAATTGCTGTGAAATGTCGGCCTAAATATGGGGTAAATATTATATGAATTAATTATAAACATTAAATTTTATCACAAAATACATACCAATAGTTTTAGTTCCGCCACAAATCATACAAACAATTTTACTATTATTATTAGCATTCATTTTGCTATTAAATAATAGTAAAATTTAATAAAATATTTAATTTTTAGAATTGTGTATTTTTTAAAATGATAAAATACTTGTAAATGTTTCTCAAACCTTGAAAATCAAAGTACAAAATATTACACAAGAAATAGTTGTCAAAGCAATAGATAAGTGCAACTCATGTAATCAATTGATAAGACATTAATTACTTGTTTAAAAATTTGATAGCGTCAGTAACCTTGGTTATTTTTGGATTTTCAAAATGCTGTTGACTCTACTTTTTCAAACAAATAATCACAATTAATATAATAGTTCATGTTACAATCATGAATTAATTATTATGTTATAATAAGTTTATAGAGTATCTTAAATTATTAAAAAATAATAGTAGCAACAAAAAAGTATGAGAACAAAACATTATATAACTGGAAACCAGTTTCATGATATTGATATAAATATGTTACATGCTATAATTATGCTTACAAGTAGATTCAAATATAAACTAATAGATGTAGTTAGTTAGTTAAATGTAAATGCATAATAAATCTATAACATGTTGTTTATATTATAACAACAATATAACAACTTTATGACATTTAAGTACTCAAACACTGCGCAAAACAACGCTATACGAAGTGTTAGCGATGGCAGAGATTGACAAATATTGTATTACATATTCGCGTATATAATCTAGTATTTAGTTTATTATTATTGAATGTTTATATAAATCTGTCATTTATTATTGTACATCAAAGTATATGTAATTTTAATTCAATTGTGATCTTGTTCAATTAATTGTCAAACTAAATGTGAGTATAATTGTTGTCTTAAATAGCATTATAAATTTTTTATTTGCAAAAAATTGTGCTGATTTTCAGGAAATGACTATTCATATAAAATAAATGTTTAAATATTTCTGTTTATAAATAATTACTTTATAATAATTTTCTTATTATATGAGAAATATTTTGATAATTTTTAAAATGTTATATGAATAAAATATAATTATTTGAACATTTTTAGACATTAGGTATTTTACGACTATTGATATAAATAAAAATGAGTGACAAAAATGATGAGAAAAGTGGTAATAGTGTTGACAAAGTCTTAGCAATTGAAGAGTTGGTAATAATGATCTTCTCATACCTCGAGATCCATGAGTTGATTGGTTTGGAGAGAGTCTCCAAAGAGTTCCAGTTTTGCGCAAATTATTGGTTTACACAACAGAAGAGCATTGCATTCAACGAGAAGTGGTGTGGAATTGATTACAATAAGCCTAAGTTTGATATCATATCAAATCGCTATACATTTCCCAAACAATATCTTGAGACCAATTCTGATGGAAAGCTGTGTCTCATAGAAAACAAAGAGCGGATCATTTGTTTGTCAAAAAAGTTACCAAACATTGAGTACTTAGGAATCGGTCACTTCGATGGCGATTACCAGACATTATATGATATTCTCGAAACGTTTCAATCAATCAAATGGTTAGAAATGTGTGGTTTGAATGACTTCACGGCTCAAGAGTTTTAACAATTGGGACAATTATTGTCGGGAAGAGTCACCAAATTATTAACAAACATTTGTATTATTAATTCAGACAATATAATTGAAATGATACGAGAGATGAAGGGATTGGAAAAGTTATTCATAAATTTTAATGATAACGAAAGTACAAAAGAATTATTAAAATGTTTGCCTAAAAGTATCAAATCATTGGACATCTCATCAGACGATGAGATGATAATTGATAACTCAGATGTGACAACACTTTTGGAAAGCAATGCAAAACATTTGCAATATTTATATTTATTAAATAATGTGATCTTCAAAGAGGCACTGGATCTGATCATCGATAATATGCAATTGAAAGCATTTACATATTGTTTCTATAATAAGTTAAATGAATGGCAATGTCTGCAAAAATTGGCCCAAAAACAGATAAATCTTGAATATCTTGGTCTAAATTCTCAAAAGTTTCTTGATTTTCAGTACTCGACAAATATTATTGATTTCCCAAAAGTTAAAACCCTTTGTCTCTATCATTGCAAACCTAAAGAAGAGGTATTTGTATCGCTATTGAGATGTTTTCCAACACTTAAAACACTTTCATTGGAGGAAACATACATTGATTGCGATCACAATGAAGTTGGGGTTTGTTTAGAATGTTTTAGGGAAACCTATGATTTGATTGGAAAACACACGACAATTGAAACACTGGTTATATATTGCAAAGAATTATGTGAAAAGACAGTCGTTTTGTGTGAAACACTTAATAAGTTTAACAATTTATCGGCCATTCATTTGAATTATTGTTGCGTATATTCTCTCGAAGATTACACAAATAGTTGTCATCAATTCATAAATGATTTTATCGATTGCTATTCAAAAGAGTCGAAGACTTTTACAATTTGTGTTCACAATAATATCGGAGACCTAAGTAGTGATCAACAAATACCCAGAAACTTGAAAATCAGTAAAATTTTGTGCTGAAACCAATGTTTATTATTCCATATTATAAAATAATTTAATGAATTGTATGTTATATACGATTAAGATTAATATTTTGTTATATAAAATGTACTGAAAGAAAATACAAAATGTTTATAAAAATAAAACTTAAAAATAAGTTTACTAAATATAATTTATATGAAAATATTATTCAAAAGTGTAAGCATGTTTTAATTGTTGTAATATTTGAATTTTTCAATAAATGAATTTTCAAAGTGTAATACAAAAGTGTATTTTTATTTAAATAAATTATTCAAAATGAGTGCCGAAACGGACGGCAAATATGGTAAACATCTGAAGACAGTTGTCTTGAATTACGATATAGTGATTGAGATCTTCTCATATCTTGAGATCCATTCACTCATACGTTTGGAGAGAGTCTCCAAAGAGTTCCAGTTTTGCGCCAACTATTGGTTCCGCAAACAGACAAACATTGCGTTCAACACTACTATAGGTGGCGATCACTACAAGCCTAGCGTTGATGTGATTCACAACTTATATACGTTTCCCAATCGATATCTTGAGAGCCATTCAAAGGGAAAGTTTTGTCTAAACGGAAGTATAGAAGTGATAATTTGGTTGTCAAAGAAGTTACCAAACATTCAGTATTTACTGCTCAACGACGCCGAGAACTATCCCGACAATTACCAGATATTATATGATATTCTCAAAGCGTTTCAATCAATCAAATGGTTAAAGTTAAGCCGATTTAATCCATTCACTGCTCAACAGTTCCAACAATTGGGACAACTCTTGTCGGGAAGAGTCACACAATTTGTGACAAACAGTTGTGACCTTAAAACCGAAAATTTAATTCATATGATTGTGGAGATGAAAGGATTGACTAAATTATATGTAGATCTCATTAAACGCGAAGACATCGCAAAACTATTTAAATGGTTGCCTCAGAGTATGCAATCGTTGTTCATTTGTTCTTCTTATGGGATTAATATTGACATTCAATTGGCAACAAATCTGGTGGAAAGCTATGCAAAACATTTGCATTATTTATATATGGAGTATACTTTTATCACCGAAGAAGCGCTGGACCTAATCATCAATGGTATGGCATTGAAGGGTCTGACATATAATTTAGATATGGAAACAAATGGATGGCAATATTTGCAAAGATTGGCACAAAAACAGCCAAATTTGGTATATCTGGAGCTGTATTGTAATCCTTTCATTGATTATCACTATTCATCAAATTTGGTTCACTTTTCAAAAGTGAAAACTCTTTCTCTCTTTGCGTGTCATCCAAAGGAAGAGGCGTTTGTATCGCTATTGATATGCTTTCCGGTACTGAAAACACTGGTATTAGATAAGGTATCCATTCTTTGCAGTTTCGGTAATGATAACAAATGTTTGACATGTTTTGGGCAAACGCTTCGTTTGATTGCAAAACACACGACAATCAAAGTATTGAGTATTTTTTACAGCGAGTTAACTGAAAGGACAGCCGTTTTGTGTAAACAACTCCAAGAGTTTCGCAATTTATCAACAATTCATGTGGATTTTGGGAGAAAATACATTATCAAAGTCTACGAAAACAATTGCCACGAATTGATCAACAATTTTATCGATTGGCACTCAAGAGATCTGAAGAAGAGGTTCACAATCAGTATTCATAAGAGAGTTACTCAAGACTTTTCACTCAAACTTCAAATACCAAGAAATCTGAGAATTAGGAGAAATCTGTAATTAAAACAAAAATGTAGTTATTTTGAAATGATATGAAACACAAATAATTATTTTAGCATTTAAGTTATACAAAAAAATTACATTTGAATCACAATTTTAATAGTAATCGAGAGGTTTATTCAAACCTTTGCTACCAATTAATCACTGATTTCATCGATTGGTATTCAATTGCCCCGAAAAAATGGTTCACAATTTGTGTTCACAGAAACATTACACAAGATTTTTCAATCGGAATACAAATACCAATAAATTTAATAATTAGAAGAAATGTGTATTAAAAACAAAACTAATTTATTGTATAATTCAATAAAATAACAAGTATTAAATATATTGAATTGTAATTTAAGCTCAAGATTGAAACATGTTTTAATTGTTGCTATAATTTAAAATAATTTATTACAAAAAATAATTATTTTACAAAACGTTAAAATGAGTTCCGAAACGGATGGTGAAAATGCTAAACAACTGAAGACATATGTCTTAAACTACGATATAGTGATTGAGATCTTCTCATACCTCGAGATCCATGAGTTGTTACCTCTGGAGAGAGTCTCAAATCAGTTCCAGTTTTGCGCCAACTATTGGNGAGAGAGTCTCAAATCAGTTCCAGTTTTGCGCCAACTATTGGTTCCGCAAACAGAAGAGCATTGCATTCAACACTACTATTAGTGTCGATCACTACAAGCCTAGCGATGATGTGATTCTCATTCCATATGAATTGCCGGCAAAATATCTTGAGATCGATTCAAACGGAAGGCGAAGTCTTATGGCAAACAAAAAGCTTATGCTTTGGTTATCACAAAAGCTACCAAACATTGAGTGTTTGGCAATCAGTGACTTCGACACCGATTTCCAGTCATTCTATGATATTCTCGATTCAATGAGATCTATGAAAATGCTAGTCATGTGTAGTTTCAATTGCTTTACAGCACATCAGTTCCGACAATTGGGACAACTATTGTCGAGAAGAGTGACTAAACTCGTGGCAAACCTTTATTATAGTAACAGGGATGTGATTGAAATGTTACGAGAGATGACACAATTAACAGCATTGGAAATACTTTTGTTTCATCCCAATCTGATTATTGAATTATTCCGATGTTTGCCACAAACTATTAGATCACTAAAACTGGTCAACAAAACACTTCGTCCGATTGACGAACAAATGGCGCAAACATTGATTGATAGCAACGCTAAACACTTGGATTCACTTCATATGAATGACTTCAACGACCACTCACTGGAACTGATAGCCAATGGACTCATATTAAAAGCGTTTTCCTTTAATTTGTACGATCCGTTAAATGAATGGCATTTTATGCAAACTGTGGCCCAAAAGCAGACAAATCTCACGTTTGTTGGCTTCAAAGGGCAATTTTATTATGATTACGATTACACCACGAAGTTTATCGCATTTCTAAAAGTGAAAACACTTTCTCTCACTGAATGTCATCCGCGAGAAGAAGCTTTTGAAACACTTATGAAATGCTTTCCAGCGCTTAAGACATTGGTCTTAATGAACACTCGCATCAGATGTAATATCAATGAAAACAACAAACATTGTTTGACATGTTTTCAACAAATGGTTCGTTTAATAGCAAAACACACACCCATTAGAATATTGAGTCTCTGTTATAAAGACTTGAGTGAAAAGACAGCCGTTTTGTGTAAACAACTCAACGATTTTCACAATTTATCGGCCGTTCATTTGAATCGTTATATTCGTGATAATCAAGAAGATTACTCAAACCTTTGCCACCAATTGATCGTTGATTTCATGGATTGGTATTCAATAGACCCGAAGAAATGGTTCACAATCTGTGTTCACAACAATACCGGAGATCTTAGTATTGGTCGACAAATACCAAGAAATGTGAGAATTCGAAGAAATTTATACTAAAATGATGTGATTTCGAAATCAAATAAAAAAGTATTTATATTCAATGATGTGTTATAACATGATTTTTATTTTGAAATCATATTAAGTAATAGATGTTATTATTATCAAATGTCTGACAATTTCTGAATTTTAAATTAATGCATTTAAATATAATTTAAATATAATTTAAATAATAAATATTTATCGATACTAAAAATAAAAAGTGTCTCAAATAAAATCAAATGAAAACAAGCGAAACAAAAGTGATGTTATTTTTGGCTAAAACTAAATAATAAAGTTTGATTAATTTAATATTATTAATTAAGTTAATAGGTTGTTACAAACTAGAATAGAATAAG